TAGCTAAAAGAGCCAGGAAAGAGTGTGTGCCTTTCCAATCTCAATAGGTTGTGGGCAAAGGAGAAGCGGTTTCCATGGTTGTTGAGTTAGCCAACCATTAGGTGAAGGGATCACCAGTTTATACCCTCTGTTACTCAGTTTGGTTTTACAAAACAAGAACAAAATTTTGGCTTCTATGGAAGATTTTTCTATTTTAACTTTGAGATCAGGACCCTCTTTTGACATTAAGGCCCACCTAAATTTCCAGGTATTTAGCAGAGATCTAGAGTAGTTTGACTGGAATGTTAGAGCATTTAGGTATATTTACTGAGCAAAATTTCTGGATGTGTATGTTAACTGCTTCTTCCTAAATGCCCTAAGAGACAGAGCTCTAGGTTGAATCCAGGTCACTTTGAAACCAAAGTGCAACGTCTTACAAGTATGCCCAGAAATGTGATCACACAAGTGTAGGATGGGGAAGCCGTGCCTTAGAAAAGTCATGTGTTGAAGTCCAAGTGTTTTAAAATGACAGTAAATTCAATGTGAGTCAGCCATGTGAGCTGGCTTCCAAGAAACCATCTGAGCTCTTAGGCTGTATTGAGAGGCGGTGCTTCGAGTGGGAAGCATCAGGCCCAACCTGTCCACCTGGGGATAGTCACCAGTTACAGAACCTTTAGAAGAGGGTGGAGCTGAACAACACTTCACAGGAGGAAAAGTGGAAAAAAATACAGCATATTTAGTCCAAGGCAGAGATGATACAAGGGGAAATGAAACCTTTAAGTACATATTGTAAAAGGCTGACATGTGGATGAAGAGTAGTTGTGTTTTGTGTTGCTTCATGGGGAGAACTGGCAGTGACAAGGCAGACTTCAGCTCTGTCTTAAGGACAAGCTATCTGGTGGTTAGAATGACCAAGAGAGTGCCTGCCTAATGGAGCAGAAGGTTCTCAAACAAGGCTAGTGGACGACTTGAGACTAAAGCTGGATGATTACTTCTCCCAGAAGGTGGTGGACTCTCACTGCAATCTCAATTACTTCTGAGGTTTCTTCCAACCCTTTGAATCTATGATTTTATATAAGAAATGGAATAAAGTATTTGGCTTTTTTGAATCTTGCAAAAACACGTTTACATGTAATGCTTTGCTCTTAAGTGTACTTTTTTTTTAAAGGAAATTATATTTGGAGACTTATGATCCTGAAGTATGCAATCCTTTTTATATGACAAAAAAGGACTTAAATTATGGAAAGATAAGTAAGTTTCTTATGTTTACCTATTTATTCTTAGAAGCTCTGGTGTTGGGGAAAACCTGGTCATTTTAGAAGTGTCATAGTTATTCTGCATTCATTTTAAAAAAATTCACAAAAGCATTTCCTCTGAGTTTTAGATTAGGAGCCCAAAGTAATTTCGACTACTTGGGAATTGACATTGTGAAAAAGGCACTTGCATGTGTGTGATAATTCGTCCATTCATTCATTCATCCACCCACTCACATTCAGCAAACTGGAAGCCCAGGAGGTAGGGGAAGATCGGTGGACAGTGACTGTGATGAGTGTCACAGAACCAGCGCAGGGAGAGCTCCTTTCTAGGGGAGGTGAAAGGAGGGATGCAAGAAAGGCCACCCAGGGAGCCAGTAGTTGAACTTGTAATGAGTCTTCACGTTTTAAACCGACAATATAGGCGTTCAAATTTTGAGATGTAGGTTTCAGGTTTTTTACTCCTGTGTAGCAAAAGTGACCATCTGATAATACTATTCATTAAAAAAATGTGTGTGGCTCTGAAGAGAAGAGTGGTTTATTTTGCTTCTCCCGAAAACCAAGGCAGATCATGGTTGTGAAGATAGGAAGGTTCTTTTGGCTCTGGGGGACTCACTGTATTGTGTTGGGCTGTCATTATGCTGTCTCCTCATTCAGTGGATGTTTTCCTTGCAAATAGCATTGGGTCAAGGTCAAGTGTGTGGGGAAGTAAACAAGGGGAAATAGTCCCTCTGTCTAAAGCCTATACTTAGGATGGGGGAGGAGAAAATCACCTTCCTCCACGACCTCTGTAGCTGGTCCCTGACCCTCAGCACACTGATGTTCTCCTGTCCCGCGGTTCTCACGGGCCCTTAGAGACCAGTGGTCAGCCCCCAAGGGGGCGCTCTTCCTCCCAAGCCAGCTTAGGACTCCGCCTTGTGCTCCCAAAGCACCCGAGCTGACGCCTCTCATGACAAGGTGGTCGTTGTCTATGACTTGTCTGTTCTAGACTGAGAGATCCCCAAGGACAGGACCTTGCTGAGATGCAGCATGCAGTGGCATTAGCAGATATTTGTTGACTGACGCAGTGATACTGTAGAACTCTGAACAGGAGTATGTGTCTTCTCTTTGGGTGGCCCTTGCTCCATTCAGCCACTTAAGGCTCAGTGAAATAGCCTAGTGTGAGGCAGGTGGCATTTACGCATCCCTTGCTCTGTATGACATTACTCCTGGGTCCTTATTCTCAGCTGTGTTGATATAGAGTAAGGCCACATTCTAATGCTTCAGACAGATTTAAAATGCTTAATACAAACTGTACTTGGGTCCTCAAAGAGTCATTTTCTCGCAGGTTACGGTCCCACTGTTCTGTGATCCTCTATTTAGAAGACAGCAAGAGTTGGATGAAGAGAGGAGGGCTATTTTTCAGTATAAGACGGGTACTTGTGATCATGGGGCTTTGTCTTTAGAGACTTCAATTGTCAAGTGATTTCCTACCCCAAGAGTGACTGGAGTTGACTTTAAGAGTGTTGATTTAGATTTTTATCTTCCTGTAGGAAAACGATGTACCTTAAAAGAATTTAAAGAACTAGAGGCGGCCAGGCAGTATGCCACATTGCCCCAGCTGACTTTCAGTCTCCACAGAGTGATTCCAAAAGAGCAGCCCAAAGCTTCTGCAAGGCCTGTGGGAAGCAAAACTCATAGCAAATGCAGGTAAAGGTCTTTTTGCTGTGTCTGTCGTTTTGCCTTTTACAGAATGTCATATAGTTACATATAGTTACATGTAGTTACAGCTACAGTATGTAGCTGTTTCAGTATTTTACTTTCATTCTTAAAGGCTCTTCTCACAGGATTAATAATGTTAGGTTGGGAGTTATTTTCTTTCAACACATATTATATCCCCCTGTCTTTTGCTCTTTCAATTGCCCATCCTATTGTTGTTCCTTTGAAGATAATTATCTTTTTGTCTGGATGCCTTTAAGATTTTCTTGTTGTCTTTGATTTTAGTAGTTTTCCGTGATGTTTCTAGATGCGGATTTCTTTTTATTTATCCTACTCAGGATTCATGGGTCTTTTTGTATCTGTAAAGTGATATATTCAGTCAGTTCTGGGAAGTTCTCATTCATTTTCTCTTTGATTGTTACCTCTGCCATATTCTCTCTCTACTTTCTTTCTGGTACTCCAGTTAAACATATTTTAGATTTTCTCATTGTACTCCCTGTCTCTTACCCTTTCTTGTGTGTTTCCCATCCTCTTTGTTGCCCCATATTTGATACTAGGTATTTTTACTAATTATCTCTTCAGTCGTGTCTAATAATCTGTTGTTAAACCCACCCACTGAGTTCTTATTTTCAATTGTTTTATTTTTATAGTTCTAGCATTTTATTTGGTTCTTTTTCAGATGGGTTTTGGGGAAGGCTGTCTATACTCAGGGCCTGGGGGAACCTATTTCAAGTGCCCTGGTTTGACTTCCCCCTCCGCAGGGTGGGGTGGTGTTCAGAACAAGGTTGACTACTCACTTTCCAGGACAGCACCAGGCGTGGGAGGAAGGATCCACCAGAGGTATGCCAGGGGTATGGAGGAGTCAGTCCCTGCTACCTGATGTTGGCCAAAGCCCCCAGGGGACAAAGTAGCCAGAGATTGGCAGCTCATTCTGGAAGGGCTCTTTCCTCTCTGGAATTGTTTACACTGCTGTCCAAAGACTTCAAAATATGAATTTTGTGCGGCTGGGAGGAGGTGAATTCTTTTTATTTTTCTCTAGTTTTTGCAGCAGGAGTGTCAGTCTGTGCAGACTTATAAATTCTACAAAAAAGAAAGAGAAAGAAAGAAAGAAAGAGAGAAAGAGAAAGAAAAAGTCCTGTTGTGTTTTCTTGGTGTTTCCTTTTTATCCTCCATCCTGAGTTTTGCTGGAATGAACACCATTACTTTGTTTTCTTGTAATTTGGAAGTTTTATGTTCTATTTCTGGTTTCATGGTTTCTTTATCAGTTTTAACAAATATTTTTATTTAAATGTCAATAATTATATAACTCCCCATCCCCTAGCAAGACAAAGACTTTATATTGCTTTATTTCCTCATCTCCCTTCTCTGGCTCCTCAGCCTTTATAGACGGTCATAGCTCCTTAACTGGTATTCTGCCCTTGGGTCTGTCTCTTCTGATGGACTCTCTACCTCTCCATCTTTTTGAAGTGATCAACCCTCCCCAACAGAAAACCCTTCAGTAGCTTCCCATAACTCTTCCAATAATGTCCAGACTCAACATAGTACATAAGGTGCCCTCTGAGCCCTGCCACCATTTCTGGCTTCTTCTAAAAAAATCCCCACTCCCTAAAGAAAAGAAATATACTAAAGCACAGAAATATCTGGGTCAAGTCAGCACTTGAGAGGATTATCACACTGTGATGTACCTCTACTCCCCCATTTACCTCTTGCCTCTGCAGCAAGCCCCTTGAGGGCAGGGGCTGCTAACTTATCTTGGTGCTCCCAGCACTTAGCTGGAACATTGTATGATGAGTAAATGCTTGTGGGATGAATGAAGGAAGGAAGGAAGGAAGGAATGGAGGAATGAAGGAGGAGGTGATTTCTCTAGGTAGGCCTGGGTTTCCCAGGGCAGGAGTGGAGACAGCCCTGGGAAACATTCTGAGAGGACACTCCTGGAGGTGCCTCAGGTGGCTGTTCAGTAAAGTAAGAAAATGACTTAAGAGCAAGGTGGCTCTGTTAGAGACAGTTTAATTACAAAAAGCAAAGTCCTTGTCAAGTTAAAAAGAAAAGGGGGGCCTGGGTATGTTAGAAAGCATCAGTCTGTCATGGAAGCCACAGTCAGTGTCTCCGTCTGTTCAGGCTGCTATAACAGGATATGAGACTGGATGGCTTATAAATGACAGAAATATATTTCTCTCAGTTGTGGAGGCAGGGAAGTCCAAGATCTAAGGTGCCGGCAGATTCAGTGTCTGGTAAGGACCTGCTTTCTGGTTGACACTGTGGAAGGGGTGAGGGAACTCTCTTAGGCCTGTTTTATAAGGTCACTAATCCCATTTATGAGGTCTCTGCCCTTATGACCCAATCACCTCCCAAATGCCTCACCTCCTAATAACATCACATTGGGGGTTGTGTTTCAACATCTGAATGTTGGGGGGACACAAACATTTAGACCATAGCAGTCAGGAAGATAGCCAGGCCACTTGAGGGACCACGAGGCTGGTCCTTTCCTCTTTGGGACTATGTGGCATTCATCATAGCTTCTCTTTGTGAACCTGCTTCCTTTCTGTTTCTCTGCTTTCTTGTGCATGTCCTGGAAAATGGATGCCCTGGTCCTGCCTTTCTGGTCTGAGCCCTCTAAAGCTGCCTGGAGCCCCTCTGTCCCAATTACAACTCTAGGGACTGAGGTTCTGGGTCAGGTGCCTCAGCCACAGCCTGAGAAGGTCACATGACTTACTGCCTAAGAGTGGCATCAGCAGAGGTGTGGGTGGGGCAGACTGATTGAGGGCCACAAAGTGATGTTTTCTCAGTCTCTCTTTTTCATAAAGTGAGTATTGAGTTCATTAACTTAATTTTCAGACAGTTATTGAATGGTACAATTCTGTTTATACTGAGTTAAGATAAATTTTTTCTACTTTTCTTTGCAGTCCTGAAAAGCTTGTCTGTGCAGAAGAGAAATATCCGCCTGATAAAGAAAATGACTAGTGACCTAAGTCAGACTGTTTTTGAAAAGCAGTTTTATTCCTCGAAGCTTGGCCAGGAGAGTAAAAAGCATGAAAAGAAGAGTGGTGAGCAGAGATCTCAGGGGAACAGGGCTCGGATGGTAGAGTTGTGTAACATCTGACAGATAGCAAACAGAGTCCAGAATCCATTGACAAATCCCTTCCTCTCAGACAGACTCCGAGGGCAGAACAGGCAGTAGTAGCCAAAGAAGGGAGTGAGAAAGAGGAGGCAGAAGGAGGATTTATTTCATGCAGAAGTGGTGGGGTCTCTTCTGGGCTCAGTACTGCTGCATGGACAGGAACCCTTTAGCAGGAGAGCCTTGGGTGAAGACACTCAGGAGATTGTGGGACCCCGGACCACACTTCTGGGGGACAGATTGTGCCCTTCATAAGGTGAGGGAAAACCTGGCCAGAGGGGATCTTCCCTCTAAGATATCCTCAGCTCTTTTTTTCTGAGTTTTTTGCTCTCCTGCTATTTTCCTACCATTTACTGCTTATTACATCCAAACCAGACCAAAAATTTTGTTCTCCATAGTTCGGTCACAACAGGTGGGAATCTTTTGAAATGAAATTTATACTAAAAAAAAAATTAGGGCAAAACGATAGTTTATATATATATGAAAGGCCTTTACGTGCAGGAAATTTCCGTGCACAGATTTCCTACCCAGAGCTCACACCCCGGTTGGCACAGCTGACAGCTCACGGTCTATTTCCCCTTCCATTCTCTCTCCCACAGCCTGTACCCTGAAGCCTGAGGGTTAGGACGCTTCTAGGGAGGGCTTCGGGCACTTGGTAGGTAGTGGGTTCCTGCTATTCTGAGCGAACTGTAGATTTTTGCATCTCTCCTTTCACTCACCAGCCTGGCTCCTTCCCTCCACCATACACAAAGCGCGAGGGGCTGTCCTTTTCTCTAGCTTGAAAACCTTGTTAGATAGGTATTTTGTGACCCAACTCCTACCCAATCCCATTGTTCTCCTGTCTGTCCAGAGAGAAACAGATGCCTCTTATGTGGTAAGTTACCTCTGAGTGTAATTCTGAGAGCTCGGGGAGCCAGGCCCTCAGTCAGGTTTGAACGTGACTGTGGTCAGCCAGGCCCTTACGGTAGGGCAGCCTAACTTGCTCCCAAGAGATCAAAAAGTGGAGCGTGGGTTACGTACACTGGAAGTTTATTTTTTGCTCCTGTACCAGAGCCGATGGGTCAGCAGGTTGGCAGGGCATCCCTCTTTCATGCAGTCTTTCGGGCGCCTGGCTGTAGGAACGTTTCTCATATCCAGCACCTGGCTGCCAAGCTTGCCCCAGGAACTCATTCCTGTCAACCTGAAAAGGGAAGAGGTCATGGAGGACATCTGGCCTGGGGGTGTAGGTGGGCCCCCAGGACCAAGTCACAAGGCAGCCCCTAACTGCAGGGGGCAGGGGGTGCTGGGAAGAGTAGTCCCTGCTGCTCAGAGCACAATGGCAGGGAGAGCTGGCATCTCATGGACAGCTGGTCATCTCTGCCACACCACAGAAAGTTAGTGCTGTGTGGAGTCCAGAGACACGGGAAGCTGTCTGAGAGGTGCAGACCCCAGATAGAGTGAGGGTAAGGTGAGGGGAGGGCTGGCTGGGAAGCTTCCTGGAAGATGAGTGTCAGTTGGAATCAGCCAGGAAGTTCCTCCCTGTCCCGTGAGCCCCTCTTCCCCACCCTACACTCAGCTCTTTTGTCAATAGGTTTTAGGAACCAGACGGCACAGACCCAGATCCTGGGCGGCTGGGGAAGGCCAGCAGAGGCGGAGGTCACAGCCCGTGGAAAGAAGAGTGATGACGGCAGAGGTCCCGGGGCAGCACCTGGCCGCCCCCGGAACTGTGCCCCATAAGGGGCCGTTTGTAACAAAGCTTTGCTGACCTTTACTTTGCAGTGTCTCTACAACAGTTAAAACGCTGCCAACATTTTTTCTCTCCAGAAATGGAAAAACAGAAGAAAGAAATAGAAAATAGAAGATCAGTTTGCTTTGCTCAGTGCAGCTCAGCCTGACCAGCCCTAAATTGAGGAATATCCAAATAATAAGTTACTGTTTATTGAGCTCTCCTTGTGAATCAGGAACTGCATGAGGTACTGTGTATTCATTTAAAAAATTTCCCAGCAAGGTAGTATTATCACCTCCCATTACACAAAGCTCAGAGGTTTGCTAACTCGCTCCAGGTCAGCTGCACGGTTTGAAAGTGGCGGTGTTCTCTATCCCACGTCCAGTCCCTCTGGTGCCAAAGCACATGGTCATTCACCAGGGCACTCGATCTCCTCGAAGCCACTCGGACTTTGTGATGTTAGACTGCTCAGAATCTGGGTCCCCTTTCAGAGCGTGGAGCTGTCCCGCTTGCCCGCCTGGGCACCCTGATCGTGAAGAGCACAGGAGGGGCTTGCTGGGCTCTCCTCCAGCCACTCAGTCTTTCCCCTGGAGGGCTAGGTAGTGTAAGGTAGTCCCTTCCTCACCCTTCAGAAAATCAGGCTCCTGTTTATGTCAGGAATGTGATTTCTCAAGGAGCAGTGCCATGTTCCTCCATCAAAGGGGGTGACTGGAGTTGCTGGAAGTACTGCCATTAACTATCCTCTGTAACTTCATAGTTGTCTGACTCACCTCTTGCAGGCTCCTCTGTCCTAAGTCCCATAAGAACGCTAACGTATCTAGACATGGAGACATGGCACTAGCCACAGTTCATCCCAGTGAGGAAGTCCTACAGTCCCAGGAAAGGATTATCCTATAGCTATGGTCACAGGTAACCCCAGGACTGCTTTTAAGCCTGCCTGACCCATCAGTGGCAGCTGTATGCTTTGAAAGTCAGCTGGTCAGAGGCAGACTTGTGAACATCAGCCCACACCTGCCTCCATAACCAACCCAGCTCGAGTCTCAGAACCCTGTAGAAGATCAGCAGTTTGCTTTGCTCAGTGCGGCTGAGCCTGAGCAGCCAGACTTTCCCTAAATTGAGCAACATTCTTAATTGTCTGGGTTCAGATATTGAGTGTCTCTTCCTTTGACCCTGGGGCGGATTTCTTTTAGGTCTGTGTTTTAGCCCATCAGTGCCCAGGATCAGTACCTGGAATGATGGATTTTTTTCCCTTGAATATTCTGAATTGTTTTCCAGTTTTTCTTTGTCCAGTGATTATGTTTAGGCAGAAACAGGGGCTATCGTGGGGGGACATTTGAATCCTTCCTTATAGCTGCTAGAGAACACCTGCTCCCTGAGAAATCAGGGCTTCTGCAGCCTGTGTGATTCCTTCCAAAAGGCAGATCTTTTCCCAGTTGTACTCATTAACCCAGGGATTTAGTGTGTAAGAAAGACCTCATTTTTATCAGTGTTCAAGACAGAGTTCACATTTCAAAATCCAGAGGCTGAGTAAACAGCTCTGACAGGTGTGGATGTGTCTCTGACAGCATGGGGACGCGGGGTGGGGGGAGACAGGTGCTTCTGGAGCTGGAGGGGCTGAGGGACCTGCTGATGACCTTTAATACTTGTGCATTTTCTTCATGGCTAAGTTGCCCCTGAGGGTCTACTCAGCTAGGCAAACAGAGGCACTCAAAAGGGAATGCTCTAGCTCCCCCAGAGATCATCCATTCTAGCCATCAAAGAAACCAAGCCCCAGGAACAGTAGGTAAAGTGACGAGAGTCACAGAGCAAGTCAATGGCAGTCAAGACGAGGCTCTGGGGGTGTCCTGACTGACTACTCCCCTGCCACATTCTGTCCTTGGTTTTTCTCACCGTTGCAGAAAGGAGATTTGGATTCATTACAAGCAGCCCCTGAAATTACCTTTTAAAAGCCTTTCACATAGTAAATCAGTCAGGCTTTGAAGTTACATTCATAAACTTATATTTTTATTCTCTTTCTGTACATATTGGCAATGATAAAGCTTAAAGATGCATGTCCTATGACATATGCAAAAACAAGGAATTTACATAAATAATTTATACTTCAGAAAATTAACGTTGAAAAATATTTTCCGCATCATTAGAGTTCACAGTATTTAAAGTAAATCAAGCTTTCCCCCTTAGATTTCAAACTATATTGTCTCAGCAGAGAATGATAAAATCTAATCAGGAATAAAATGATCAAGTTTCTGTTTTTATTCAGTGCACAAGTGGACACTATTTCCGTAATCAGGCTGTTCCCACGCTGAGGCTGCATTTCTTCCCAGTCCTTCACCTCCTGAATGGCTGTGACCCAGCGGAGGTCACGTGGTGTGAAATGGTTACAGCGTCACCCAAACCACCCACAGTGGACACATTCAACCAAGTGGTAACGTCTGGTGGTCTGATGCCTCATTTCCACGTAATACTTTTTATAGCCCTGAAAATGGAAATCCTGGCATCTAAACACAGCCGAACATGTTAACACTAATACAAGGCACTGTGCTATGGGGTTTGGTTTATTTATAGGGAAGGTCATGTTTGCATAGATTGCTAGCGATTTAGTGTGCAATAAAATAGAGGCCCCAGCATGTGTGGCCTTGTGATGGATGAAGCGGTGCGATGCTCTGCCAGCTCAGGGGCAGCACCAGCTGTCTTCTCCAGCCCCAGCCTAGTGGGCAGATCCCTAAGGCCCCTACAGGAGAGTTTTTTGCTCAAAAAGCTGCAGGTCAAAGCGGACCCAGACCTCCCCGGTGGGGACCTCATGCAGCAGCAATCGGCGGGTCGTAGGGCCTTTGCTTTCCTGTTCTGTTCGAATTTTTGCCACTGGAACTTCAGTGCGACCCAGGAAATCTGGTGAATAGACAAGTGAGAGTCAAAAGTCTTCTTTAAAAAACTGTTAAAAAACTATCACAGAAGGAGTGTCTGAAACAGGATTCATAAAACTTTCAAATTCAAAACAAGTAACTTCTTTTGGTTAATGGCTGTTGGATACTGTGAATGGATGGATGCATGCAGAACAAGGGATTTGTGTGAGAGGGAAACTCAAACTGCTGGGAATCCAAGCCTCTTTGGTCAGGGAATGGCTCACCCATTCAGTAGGTGCCAGGAGCACAGCGTTTCCATTAGGTAAGCAGGGGTGACTGGGGTCAAAAACCTGAGACACACCTGAGGCCACCCCCCTTTCCCCTGAGAAGGTACCCCACCTGCAGCCACTGAAAGCTGCTGAGGACCATGGCCTGTGTCACTGCCCTTAGGTGTCTTGGGGTGAAAACAAGGCTGAGCACCCTGCTTCCAGACCCCAGATCCTAGAGTATGGGGGAAACTTCATATCCCCGCCCCCACCCCCCGGAGTTATACTTTACCATCTGGTGAAAACTGGTCTCTGTCGAACATGGTAAGACACAGCACATCCTGATAAAGATCCTTAATAAAGAACTGGCAGTTAAAATTCCACTTGGGATTTAGCGTGTCCTGAAGGGTTCTGGTGGTGTAGCTCTGGGAGCCCATGCTGATTTCACAGTATGGATTGCTCTTTCCTGAACAAAAACAAACCAGCATACATGTGGCATGTGACAGTAGGGCCACCTTTGAGCAGAAGCAGGATCTACACAGATGTTTCTCTATAGACCATGGCCGCAGGGGTCACTGCCTGAGGGTCTGCATCTGCCTTGTGGTCTCTGTTCCCAGTGCTGACAGCATCATAAAACCTGGGGAGGGACTGACTGTGTGGGCTCGAATGCCAGGGCTGCTCCCCATGAGCATGTGTCAGTGCAGCTTGCTTCCTGCTTTCTCCACTCATGAAGCACTGAGGAAGGAGGCATCGGTGTTTATTGGGAAACTAGAGTGATAATAATTTTGGTCCAATAACCATTTTAGTGGCACTGGAAATACTGACTTTTAAAAAGTGTCCTGTTATTCAGTGTTCAGAAGAGTCATCAGCAAAGAGCAGGGTAGTTACCACACCAGTTGAATGAAAGAAGCATTTACCATTTGGTTTACAGGCTTTTAGTTCTGTAGCTTCAATGACATGCACCATCAGACGCCCGATGCCTGAAGACTTTTGAGAGCGAGCTACAAAAGAGGAAGACGAGTGATGTTAATTTCTTCTCTGAGAATGCAGACAGCACAGTGATGACGCTAAGCTGTAGATACTCAGTCTTGTCTTTCTGACCAACCCCAGCACTCCCCAGCCTCATGTGCCACTGAACTGGGCCTGGCAGCATCTGGCTGCTCTGTGACTTTGCCCAGGCTGTGTCGCCTGCTAGGGTACCTCGCCACCATCTCTGCCCATCAGCATTCTACACATCCTTCAACATGCGGGTCCAATCTCACCTCCCGGATCCCTTCCCTCCTTTGTGCATCCCACAGCCTACTGGGTCTGAACTTCTGTGTCAGTCCATCCCCTCTGTCAGGAGGGGCCATGGCAGAGCACAGATTGTTTATTCATCCTTGTATTAACCCCTCAACTGCCTAGCAAGTAGTAATAACATCACCATACATTATATTCATTCAGCACCTAAAAGCAGCTAACATTTATTGGATACTTTGTGTTAGGCATGTGATCGACTTTTACATAAGTTATAATACTTAAACTGCACATTTACAAGGTAGCCCTTTATAACTGCCATTGTCATATATGAGAAAACTGAGTCTTAGAAATGACTATAACATGCTTATGTCACAGAGCTTCTAAACGGCAAGGTCAAAAACACATCAGATACCAAAGTCCACTTTCTTTTCTTAGAATTTATTTTAAATTTTTTTCTTTTTTGGCTGTGCTGCGTCGCATGTGGGAGCTTAGTTCCCCAACCAGGGATTGAACCCGTGCCCCCTGCAGTGCAAGTGGACTGGACCACCAGGGGAGTCCTCAAAGTCTACTTTCTTAACCACTCACCATAATTCCAATTACATGTAAACACTTTAGCTTATAAACTTTTACTTAAGACCTTATTTAAGGAGGTACTCAGAAACAATTTTAATATAGAGAGAAATGAGTTGGTGAACTCAGATTATCTTGGTAAATATAAAGTTAGTTAAGCAGGGTTTGCCTTTAGGGGTTTAAAAACTAACAGAAAAGCTGCTTGGTGAGCTACTGACTTTTCAAAGCTCAGGGCAAGTAGAACCTTCTCTGTGAGAAGTGGCCCACCCCTCCTATGTGCCCACCCGCCCAGCAGGCACTGGCATTCAGTTCCCCTTGAAGGCAGGGCTGGGCCATATTCATTTTGTAGGCCCAGTTAAGCCTAGCACAGGGCCTGGCACAGAGTTAAGTAATAAAGGTCTAAAGAATGGAACACGTGGAAAGTGCATAACAACACGTACAGATAATGGTGTAAAGAAAAACTTCGATTTATCTTCGACCAATTAGATCATTATATGCTTTCTGAAAAGATTCAATCATTGATTTTTCAATAGCATGCCTCTAAAGTACCATTAGAATAAGATTCAATTAGCAAAAGCCAATTTACGTATACCTTTCAGGAGTATATAACAAAATAAGGGAAACCTGAATTAAAAAACATAAAGAGCTGCAACTCCAGCAGCCAGGAACCTAAGTGGGAGGACTGGTCAGGGAGGGGCCTCGTGCCGTAGCCTGGTGGGAGACTGGAGGGTCTTAATAGGGCTGTGCCACCAGGAGAGGACAGGACTATGCAAATGGGGAAGAGAACCATGGAGAGAACATGCAGGACTCAGTAACTGTCTAGAGATGCGGGGGGATGGGGGTGGTCAGAGAGCACATTTCCAGTGTGCGCCCAAGGACAATACTACCGTCCACTGAGATTCTCGGGAGGAGCTACTTCTGGAAGGAGGTTAATTAATCCAACAGGAGGAGTGGTGCAGGTGTTTCTGGAGAGCAGGGACAGCAGGCCAGCCGTGACCACTGAAGCTGGGGTTACATGAGGGAGAGAGGCTCAGAACTCCCGGGGTAGGGTGGGAGGGAGCAGAGCTAGGAAGGAGATGATGAAAGAAGATCTGATGGTAGAAGGACCCTCAGGGGTGTCATGGGGTCCGGGGGAGGGAGGGGCCTCAATTTCCTGCTGTTGGGGAAAGCGAGCCAAGTTGGGGGTGGTCACTGATGTCGTGTGAGCAAGCCATTCGCACAGAGTGATGGGACAGCAAGCGGAGTGAAAGGCTGAGTGTGGGGTCCCGGACCCAGTGCTGGGAGAGGGAGGCTGGTGGACCTGGAGGAGGGGTGGAGTAGAGGCTGGATCGGGGAGGAGCAGAGTGTGGATGAGCTGAGGGGAAACGGGCCGTAGAAGTGAAGTTTGATGGAGCAAAATGGACCAAATAGAGGCGGGGCTGGTTATGCAAAGGACAGACCCCTCTTCCTGGAAACAGGAGTGAAGAGTGTGTGTGGGGAGGAGGGACAGAGACCTTGCCACAGAGCGAAGGGAGGTCCCACGGCTCGCACTGGATGACCCCTGTGTATGTAGGGGGCAATGGGTGGGGGGCTCAGGGAGGCAGGCCCCCAGGAGGTTTGAAACGGCTGTGGGAGGCCAAGAGGGCTCTGCCGAGCTCGCTCGCGGCAAGTCTGGTCTTTCAGGCTGTCCCTGTTTATCCCCTCACTGCAGGAGCAGCAGCCTGTGCCCTGAAGCTGGGACCCCGCCCAGTGCCCAGGGCCCCCTGGTGGCTGGTTCCAACCCTCCCAGGCACCCCCCCCCCCCCCACCTTGATAAGCCTTCTCCCGTTTCTTCTTTTCGGTGTCGATGTACTGCTCAGATGCCGCCTTGATCTTTTGGACCCAGGCCGTCCTGGGGGAGAAGCAGAGCGCACCATCAGGCAGACTTCGCACACGTCTCAGGTCCACCAGGAGCCCCAGAGCTCCGTGCGCGCCAACCTTGGCTTTGAGAAGTTCCCAATCATAGACTTCACAGTAATTCAACTGAAGGACTTGTTTGCTATTTGAGGATCAAGCTGAGAATTTCTAGAAAGTTCTTGACGGCACCAAGCACTTGTCAGGTGCTGGGCGCACAGAGATGGAAGATGCAATGGCAGCTCAGCACGACAAATGACAGGTTCTATTGCACAGAGAGCTGTGCACACAGCAGAGGAGGAGCTACACCCAGAGGACAGAGGACACGTAGCTGGCCAGGCAGGGAGGGAGGAAGGCACCCATGCAGAGGGCAGTGGGGGAGGGCAGACAATCCGGCTGGAGTGCAGGGATGGGACTGAGACCCAGAGGCACGGGACGGCCTCAGAGAGCAGCCAAAGGAGCACAGACTGTCCCTGAGGGATTGCAGTAGGAAGTGAGGTGTTGGCTCTCCCACTTCAGAAGATCCTGAGAGGCTGGAAGCAGGGAAGTGTATTAGAGGCATTTGCGGTAACCTGGCACATCTAAACCAAGGCCTGCCAGTGGGACTGTGGTGGAGGGCGAATTAGTAGGGCGTGAGCATGGGCTGGAGGTGGGTTTATGGCGGAGGGAGAGGTCAGGCTTTCTCCTAGGCCTCAAAGCAGGTCACACGTGGTCAGGACTGACCTCTCATT